ATGCCATCTTTTTATAGCATTAAATAATAAGCCAATCTTTCATTGTAAAGACTTTATTTGTTTTCGACAGTAACACTATTGTGAGAAGTAAATTTTAGGCAAGAAATCAAATTAGTTGTCCTTGGCATTAGAAAGTTGACACGTAACAAGAAAGCAGCAACCAAGGGTGCCTGGGGATATTTGGACTTTATCTCCAGCATTCTTCCATTGGGAAAGCTGAAAGAAAGTAGGAACAATCTGTTACTTCCAGCAGCAAAGAGTACACTTAGAAAGGCTCAGCCACAATCTGGATTAGGAAAATACTTTGCAGGTAAAGATCTAATGAACAATTCACACAGTTATGAATTGTGAACACCAAAGGAATAAAGGTTAGTCCTTTTTATCTTTTAAAACAGAGAAGTTAAAACTCGATTAGCAAAAATTGAGGGAGAAGAATTCAGTGGGAGGGAGAGAGGTTATGAATTTTGAGAGAGAGATTCTGGAAGAAACGTGTCGTTGCAACTTTTTATATGATCCCTGGTTTTTTTGTGGTGGGGGGGATAACAATGCCAGTGGCAATGGGGCTGCAATAACTGCAAGACTGCATAAAAGTCTGTCTGTGCAGAGCAGAAATTATCAACATGAATTGTGGCCGCTTGATAGCTGAATAAGTCACCAGGTCTATCTGTCATGGTCTTCTATCAATACAAAGAGGCAGCTGGAAATACCAGTTTAGACTAAAGGACTTGAAGAATATAGAAAATAAATTAGTCCACTCTGGATTTTTCAAAAGTAGGAAGAATCATTTGAAGAGGCTGAGGATCCACTTTATACTAGGCTAAGGAATACCATGACTGGATACAGGTCATTTCATCCACTGGTATCTTCGGTGCAGGCAAGTTTCCTGTCCCATTCCTTTTCAGGGGACATGAGCACAAAATCACTGAAACATGGACGGACAAACCATATCTCTGTATTAGCTCACCTGAGATAATTATACATCTTTAAGACTATCTTGGATCCTCTTAATCAGTGGCTCACCCTGAAATTGAAAATACATATTCTGAGACTTTACTGGACAAAGTAGAAAGTCCTTGATGATAAATGGATGGATGGATGGATGGATGGATGGATGGATGGATGGATGGATGGATGACAGATAGAATTCTAGGAGAGCCTATGCAGAATATCAGATCTAATATTCTGTTGCACAGAATATGATGTAGGAAGTTCAGGGTTGGAATCATTGTATCTATTCCTATCCCTTTTACATATGGCCATGCCAATTGGGAACTGTAGGAGTAGTAGCTTACTACACCAGGCTGATGTTTTCTTAATGAAGGCAAATCTAAATTTGGTGGGAAAAGCAAGCCAAAGCCTTTTATTGAACTTTTCCCATCCATACTCCTTTTTAAAGATATACCTTTGAGTCGAAGCATTCCCTTTTGTGTTCATCTGCACAGCACTCTGCCTGGAGGAGATGGAAACCGATGGTTGCATTTGCTAACTGATTGTCTGTGATGTGAGGCAAAAATTCGATCAAGTCAATAAGCAAGCTGTAAGGCAAATAATAGCTGTTAAAACCTCATTGAATCCAAGTACCCCCACATCTTCACCCTCTTGGACATCCCAGGAACTGAGGAAAATATATAAATTCATGGATATAGAGAATCCTTCTTTTTTTCTTTTCCAATATACACTTTCTTAGTACAAACTCCCCATTGTGAAACTTGAAATTTTAGCAGAAGAAAATGTGGAAAGAGGCTGAAAACAAATGCTGGAACACATATTTCCACTACTCTGCAACCTTCACAATTCTGTTTTTTTTTTAAAGACTAATTATAACTGAACGGTTGTAAAATTAAAAATGGAACACTGGCTTTTTTCGTGTGAATTTCTCAAAATTATTGTTCTTCTCATGAACAAAAAAGTACTTTTCATTAAATTGGGTGGAAATGTTTGGGGAATAATTACCAAAGGCATTTTAAGAAGTGTTCAGTAGTTTGTAGATGTAAATTGCTCATCTGATTTTAACCTTCAAGAGAAAATAACAGGATGGAAGAAGAAAAGATAGGACAAGCAGATACCTGGGGAAATAAAGAAGGGAAGGACAAGCCATAGGCAAGGGAAGAGAGCTTTCTTCATGAATATCCCAAGAAAGGAAGTTGATATGGGAGGTGACTAAACAAAAGTGTGTACAGAATACAGGAGGATGTACTCAGCAGCTGCGGAATTAAGGCAGAATGAAGCAGACATATGTGTGATGTCATAGGTTTGATGTGACATCTGTCACGAAATATCTGGGTAAAAGACTTTGTTTACTCACCCTTGCTTATTTTTCTGCACAATGTGTTCGTCAGTTGAGCACAAACCATCAGGGTCATCCATTACGTGAGATTTGAATGTAGCAGGAGGGACATAGTCTGGATCTGCTCCTAAGTTAGTGATACATTCCCAACGTCTGATGGAAAAGTAATCACAGCATTGGCAAACCTGTTTGTTTATGTGATGCTCTTTATGATACTGGCATATAGATCCTATCACTTTATCCATCTGAGAGAGAAGAGAGAGAGAGAAAAAAAACTCCAATGAAGTTATTCAGTTGCATGATGTGACCACTATATCTATTAGACATACGCTATAAACATAACATGTCAAGTGTTAGCCTTTAAGTGATGCTAAAAGGTTTCATGAAAGGGAGGTCAAAAGCAGTTCTGATGAAATTAATACTGTTTTCTCTGAAGGTTAAAAATCACACTCCTTCCTTCCCAAGATTCAAATTTCTTTGAGATGTAACAAAGCCAACTGCTGATAGCGTCTCCCTGTTTCCATCCATCCATCTGTCTCTACCCATCTCCGGGTAGTAACAAGAAGCAAAATCAGATCTACTGTGTTGGTTTAGGAAATTGCCTTGCAAAAATGTTAAGATTTATATCCCTCTGATTATTTTTTGGTAGCAGGAGATTTTAAGACAAAAATAAGTGTACATGATTATACTTTCTATACCCCTAAATATTGGCCTATGGGTAATAAGAAATCTAAAGATCCAATTTAAACACAGAATTGATGATCATGCATTGTTCAACTTAGGGAGATAAATTTGGAGAATATACTTTAAACTCTATGAAGGGTAATAGTGTGGTGGGCTACATGATGATATATGGTTGTTTATAGAACTATGTTAAATATTTTCAGGTTGTCTTTCAACATTTTAGTGATCATCAGACCTTTACTACAGAACTGGTCATATTTCCAGGCTTAAATTCATAAAGCATAATTCCTGAGGCAAGTGGTATGTTCAGGAAGGAGGTGGCTTGGATGGATCATTAAACTTAAAAGTTGTTCAGCAGAACAGGGTAACAAATTCCTAATTTGTTTTAATTTTGTAAAAGTATAATTTTGATTCAAAAATGAAATATTAACAAGGAAACAAGATTTATGACACCTTAGAAAATAATGTAATATTTCTCCACTGAGAATACACAGCTTCCAATAAGGATATAAACATATTTTGGCAATGGATTTCTGAGTTCTACGAATATGGACTGTATAGTGTCTTGGACATCAACAATGAATTACCCCAAAAACTAATTTAAAGAGATACATCTGAAAAAGACACTTCAGAAAGTAGGTGTGTAATGGAGTGTTATTTAATAAAAGAGCTAACATCAAGGAAATATGGATTGAAAATGAAAATATTTAAGACATTTGCATTTGAGAAATAAGATTTCCAATGATTTACATTAAGATTCATATACATCAAGGGAAAGTATAGAGAAGATCTATAAATGAGGGAAAGTTGTGAAAAAAAAAACAACAGGTACAGATATGTTTGGAATACATACAGATTAGATTACTGCCATTCATGACATCTAAGACCATGTGTGTAACTAATACCTCAATTGTTTATATTTGATTTTAATTCATTTGCTGCTCTCAGTTCATGATGGTTGCCATGACACTTTGATCCCTAACCTATTCAGCATTAGAGCTCTTAATGGAACTCTTCTTGCTTGCTGAGATGTTCCTAGAAGACTCTGCTTTGTGCCCTACGTCATGTGGAGAAAGGGACTGAGGATATTGGTCCAGAGGTAGTACTTAGCTTTGGAAGCCCATATAGCCCTTCCTTCCACTGAGACCATCTATGAGTGATTTCCCCAAAAAACATAATGTGTGGAGAAAGGAAGAAATGGAGGAGAAGCAAAGCAGCAGAATATATAGTGGAAGAAATACTCACATCTTCTAAAGCACATGACAATTGGTGATGACTATCCAAACTGCAACATTTCTCAGCAGCATGTGCCAATTCCTTTGTGAACAAAATCAGTTTTAAAGATGGCAGCTGGGGCATAATCTTGGTATACTTGACCAAGAGTCTGCAACAAAGGCCAAAGGGCATTCATTAGAAAAGTGGGATGCTCTTGATTATGGCAGGTTTGTAAAAGCACTAAAGGACACCAGGGAAAAAGTATTGCTTTCCTAAAGCTGAGGACTGAATTACAGGATTTTAGTAAAATCCAAACATTTGTTCCCTTTCTACAAAATCAAATGTCCCTAGCTAGGCAAACACACCTCAGCCATTGCCTTCTGTTTGTGATGTAAGAGATGGATCTGAGGAAGTATTAGCTTTTATCTTGATTTAACTTTTTCAAAAAATGTGGGGACAGGTATTGTGATTCCTTTGGTGGATCTCAACATCTTTTTAAACCTAAGAAAGTTTAATGTAAGTATATTGTTTTAGCATTTTAACACTACAAAAATCGATTCATACTTATAACTGAATTCTCCACCCTATTCACAGACAGCAAAACTTGAGAAATCACTTTCCTGAATACTCTTCAGAAAGACTGAAAAGCTGCAGAAGTTCAGGAGAACCTGAAGACATCTTAAGCATTTGGTGGAATATTCTTTTCTGAGGAATTGCAGCCTTTTCACTCTGGGTCTCCATTGCCCACCTCCCCTTGCAAATAGACAAGCTCACATCCATAAATGGCTTCGCTTATTGAACAGTTCCCCCTGTTTACAAATTTATCATGCAAATAATAACATACTCGTTCTGGAAGAAATACCCTCCTATTTTTTTATACTGTTCACAATTTTTCTTCACAACTTCCTCAATCTTGGCAATGAGCAATTCAAGTTGTTCTTCCTGAAAGAAAATGATTTTTGTTAAATGTCTGCAGTAACAGTGAGCACACCTTGGAAGCAACAATAGAAACAATGTTGGGAGAAAATCTGAGAAATATATGCAATTCTTACCCTGGACAAACCAAGTGTTTTTCCATACAATTGAAATTGGTATGGGTAAATTTCGATTCTCCCAAAGTTAGAGGGAAATGTGAACAGACAGGAATAGCACAGAGTGTGATTTGATAAAAACAATTTTGCTATACCCATTAAGTGTACAAACATTGTGCCTGAAAGAAAGAGGCAAAAAGAATATCTGGGAAATCTAGTCAGTACCCCTTACCCTTTCCAGATCAAGTCAAATGGTATACAGAAAAGCATTCAAGTCGTGTTTTGAAAAGCCACACAGGATGGTAATTTCACTAGGAAAATAGCATCAGCAGCTATGCTCACTTGGTTTCTATAGAATGCTGCCATAGAACGTACCATGTCACATGTTCCTGTGATCTGAATCTATTTTTTAGGTGGGAGATGTTACAGGAGCTCCCAGACTGACATAAAAAGATGACCAGGTCATTTTAGTCAGGACAAAGAAATATTTACGGATTTACAATAACTAAAACCTAAAATTTGGCCTGGAAATGAGAGCAGTTCAGATGGTACTCACAAGGCCTGGATAATATTATCAGAAATGCAAATTCCAGAACACTGTCTGGCTACTGCACTTTGCACCAGTTATCACTTCCAAACACTCTTCAAGGGCAGCTCCACTCCATTCCACCTGACTTTGGGAGCCACAAATCCTCCATCTTTCCAAGCAAAATAAAACATAGCAAAACAAAACAAGAAAACAAACAACAAAAAGCAGCAACACACAAAGACCGAGGGTGATTTTTTTCCATTCTAGGCATGACATTTAATAATGCATCTTGTCTGAATCTAAAATTTCTCTTCTATTTTCTGAATATTTATTAATAGTACTACAATGGGAATGTGGATGGGCAGGGAATCAACAGGCAATGCCCCGCACAGAGAGAAAAGGACTCACCCCTGTATGCAAACACTGTGCATGATCTTCCAGTTTGCAGCACTGGCCCAACAAGTCTTTATATCTTAGGAAAATTTCCATATCAAGCAGTTTAGAAAGCTCAGGGTGGCTTCTTGTTAAGTTAAAGAGAAAGCTACAAGAAGTGAAAAATGGGGTCAGCAAACATTAATAGCAACAGAACGAATTATAAGTTGAGTGTCCTTCAGTGCCCATCATGTTTTCTAAAATGACTGATGTCTTTCTACTGATATCAACTGGAAATAATGCTTTGGATGATTAAATGTCAATCTTTTCCAAGATTGGTTCTGAATCCATCCATATTGCTCCTCTAGCCCAGATTTAGTTTGCCAGATCCTTTTGCTAATTAACTACTATTCTGCTTCTTTTCTTTCTGTCCCCTATTCTTCTCCTGCATTAGAGAGATCCCTTAGCTGTTTAGTTCCAGTCACTGATCTCTAGATTACCCTATTTATGCTCCCTCCATCTCTAACACCAATCAGATCTGCCTGAACATTTTGCTACCTGAAGGAAAGCATAATGACATCTTCTCCTTTCTATGTCCAAAACCCAACTGGACTAGCAGTTGCATGTCATTTCAGTGCTGGCAATGCAATGAGATCCTCTGAGAAGTTAACTGAGGAGCTGAGAGAAAATTTTTGAGATGCACAAAATTTATCTTCCTTGGGAAGGAGCTGCTTAGGGTTCAGAAGTGATACTTAGGGGGAACTAGCAAGCCTGTCCTCCCAATACCCATTGCCTCACTCTATCTGATGTAAGACCTGTTCCATTCATCCAGCACAAAAGATCATGCTCCCTGCATTATTTTGAACAGTCTAGCCCCACCACTTAATGGGAATGAGGATAGTGTGGAATCTCTATG